CATAGGTAAAAGCTTGGATGCGAAAGAGAAGAAAATGCATTGGCTCAGAATTTTATTATGAAGTGGCAAAATTAAGTGAGTAAGGTATGGGTTGCACGGATGAGGGGGCAGCCTCGTAGATCGTCGCGCGGGTGAGGGGGCGGTCATGCAAATTTTGCATGGGTGGGGGATCATCCGTGCACGTACATCATAATTCACCTCTTGTTGCAATAATTTTTAGCTCGGATTTCCGTGGGTAAGGCCTGGGTCGCACAACTTTTTCACGGGTGAGCAGTCATGCCATGCAGATTGCAGATTTTTGAAACTTTTTGCAATTGTTCGCTCCACAAGCTCCGGTTTTCTTCCAAACTTCACCAAAATCATTTCTAAGCCTCATGATGATTTATTTTGACTAAATTCAAGCCTAGACTCCTTCAAACTTCAAGCATAGATTATTTATCCATAACACCTTTATTTAACATCTTTGCCAAGACAAAGTCCCACTTCCTTCAACATTCATAAATCAGAGTTTCCAATGTTACATTGTCGAATTCTCCCGTATCAAAGCTTTCGTAAAATGGTTTAAAATGGTGCCCATTCACTTTAAAGATTTGATTCGTTTTGAAACCCTTAATTTCAACCACACCAAGATCAAACACTTTTAAAACAATGAAAGTTCTATACCATCGAGATCACAATTTTCTTGGGAATAACTTCAAATGTGAATGCTAAAGAAGAAATTTTTGACCAAAACAAAGTGTCTTTGGGTTATGTACTTGTCACGAAATGCCTTTTTCTTATCTTTATAATTTTTGAAGTTTTTAATTTTCTCCTTCTTGACTACTTTCATCATTGGAAGATTCAATATTCTTTGACCTTCCCTCCTATGCTTACAATTTTCTTCCATGAGGATCTTGTGAGTTCATATATTAGAGCTTATCCCCTTGATATCCGCTATTTTCCACCCCATGGCCTCTTTGTGATCTTTCAAAACATCAACCAATTGGTCTTCTTCAAAATCTTTCAACTGAGAGGCGATGATCGTCAGAAGAATATCGTCTCTACCTACGTAAGCATACCTTAAATGTATAAGTAAAACTTCCATTTCATGTGTGGGTGGGTGGATAATGGAAGGGGGCATCTTGTATGGAGAATAAGATAAGGCAACTTGAGATACAACTTTCCTTGTTGACTTGCTTACTTCCAAAGTCTTCACAAATTTTTCAACTTCAGAGTCTAATATATACATTTCAAGTGTTTTCTTCGAACTCACACAATCAAGACTCATGTTGAGTACCGTCTTCAAAATATCCCATATGATTAATCAAATATTTCTTGGGTTATTGTCTCAATCACATCAATCCGATACAATGGGGTAATGTTTTTTAGGGTACCTCATTGCTTCAAATATGTTGAAGTGAATGGTATCTCCAGCAAACTCCATGGTGATCTTCCCATTATGGACATCAATAATCGTGTGATCGGTATTCATGAAAGGTCTTCCAATGAGGATTATAGATGACTTGGAAGGAGTCTTCTTTTCAAAGGTAATGAGATAGAAGTGCATGGGAAATACTAGTTGAAGAACTTGTTTTAGCACATCCTCCAACACTCCTCTTAGAATTACACTTGACTTGTTTGCTAGTTGAATGATTACTCCGGTTTCTTCCAAAGGTCCAACATTGACTGATTGAAAAACCAAATATGGCATCACATTGATCGAGGCTCCAAGATCTAACATGACAATTGCGACATGCAAATCACCAATGGTACAAGGGATAACAAATATTCCCAGATCCTTGCATTTGGTAGGTAACTTTTTTAGATAACTACAGACACATTTGCATTGAACTGAATCTTTTCATTTGGTGAATTTCCACTACTTGGTGCACAAATCCATGAGGAATTTTGAATAACTTGGAATTTGCTTAATATCATTCAACATTAGAATATTGATTTGGACCTTGCAGAAAGTTTCAAATAATTCATTTTCTTCCTCTTTTTTCTTTGAAGAGGCTAACCAGGAAGGGAAGGGTGGTGATATAACCAATGGTTTGATGGTCTTATTGGAAAAATCTAGTTGTTGAATATTTGTCACAACCGATTCCTTTGGAGGAAATACCACCCTTGAAGGTTTAACAACAATAACCTCACCTTCTTATTCCCTTAAAAATCTTTTGGGCTTTCTTTCTCCAAGTGTTTTCCCACTTTTCAAGGATATGGAACTCTCATTTCGATTCTTTTTGGTTTGAGATGGAAGTTTACCCCTTTGTTCCATCTTGTTGAGAGTCGTTGCCAAGTCTCCAATTTGTACTTGAATATTGGAGAAGGTGTTCTTTATCTCTTGTTAGAATTGTGTTTGTCTTGGCTCGGTTTTGCAAAGATTTACATGAGAACCTAAAGACCAACACCTCTAGAACTTGAAAATGAATGGGATTGTTTTGATCACACAACACAAACCAGAGGGTGGTGGAGGATGGCTTCGAGGTGGTTGGACAGTTGCGAAAAGGGGGAGGCAGAAACGAAGCCAACAAGAAAGACTATCATCGTCGACAAAGGTAGTAAGGGGTTGCTATTGTGTTCCTCAGTTGTTCTTCGTTGTTGTTAGTAGAAAACAAGAAGGGAGTTGAGGGAGCAGCTTGATTGGGAAACAGGAAGCAACAATAACAAGAAAATAGGAGTATTTGGTTGTGGTGATTGACAAGTAAAAAGGGAAAGGTGAGGAATGGTTGTTTCCCTTGTTGGTCACAGGAAAAACACACCTCCAGTGCTGGTTTTCTTGGTCAAAAGCAAGGAAGAATAGGAAAGAGGGGAGGAGATTTTGAATTATTGAATATGGGATGATGATAGTTGGAGTGTGCAAGTAAAGGGGGATGTCTTGGACTTTTATGCACCCATGCATGTACTTGGTTTAATGCAAATTATTGAAGTGTACTAGAATTAGGCTATAAGAAAGATTACATTATGGGAGTGAAGTAAGGAATTTGAGTGCGCGACTTGTCATTTAATCTACCATGCATGTCTTTGTGTTACTTGAGGTGATGCACACTTGTGACATCAAATGGTGTTACTCTTCAAGCTTTCTCGATCCATGTGCCAAAATCTCAACATCTAATCATTTTTATGAAAGTGGAGATGATTGTCTTGAGTGTGATGATTTCAAAAACTCAAACGGATCTAAATTTTGATATGTAGAACTCAAAGAAAAGAGGATTAAAGTTTCATTTCTAGATCGTCCTGATTCGGTAGCTTTCACGGATTTGATAAATTTTCGGGTTAAAAATATTACGAATATAAAATCAAATATGAGACTTATGTAAGTTCAAAAATGTTCTCGGATTTTCCATATGAGATGTGAAAGTACCTTAACTGGTCAAATCAGTTTTCATTATTAAGAAAAATTAAAATTATACTGATTTGGTTTCTTATAATGTCATATCTTTTGCATATGATATCCGTTTTTGAATTTTCTTATATTGCTAGAACAATAAAGATCGATAGATTCTATATTTGCAAGATGAAATAAATAAAATAAATGAAAGTGATCAAAAAGGTGTCAGAGGATTAATAATAATAGCAATATAATAGTTCTTAAGGCGAAACTACTATGTACTTGCTTCAAAAGATGTAACCCTAAAAGTTAAATGCATGCTATATATTGACTAAGACAAATAGTGGTTCCGAACATAGACATGCCCATTTCAGAATCTAATAACATAAATTTGACACAACATATTATTAGACCTAACAATCTCCCCCTTTGTGTCCAATGAGAAGAGAGTTTTCATTGTTGTCTTGGCGCTTCAAAAATCTGAGGCATTGTTTTCAGAAGGGACGCTCTGACAGCAAGATACCACTGAATCATATCCGACATGCATTTTTAATCCAAAGCTAAATTGGTCTTGTTAACTTTAGCCCTTGCCAGAAATTGATTCATAGCACTTGTGGAATACAAGTGTGTGTCCCTTAAAAAGAACATGCAATTTTTCAGAATTGCATCCTCCTTCTTCTTATACACGATGCTCCAATATTCATTTTCGATCAATTGCCCTGGCAGATCTTGGATGTCCTCAGGTTTTTCACATAGCTTCATTATGGGTCTTTTATTCAAAACTAAGGTAATCTCAATATCCATCTTTCCAATATCCAGGATGTAGCATTTTATTAACCTCTTCAGATGGTTGAAAATAGGCTCATATTATTCACAACCTTTTCAATTATGTTGAATAACAAAATCCAATCATATGGATTCAAGAAACGAAAATCAGCCAATGTAAGCTCATGAGGCACATGATCCAAACCGCAATATCCTTTGAAGTGAATATTCTGAAAATCTTCAGTTTCCACAGGAATTCCGACCTTCAAACCTACAATCCCGTTTAGACTCCTGGACTCATACTAAGGCTACCCATTCTTGAAATAAAAGTTGAAGAGTTTTCAGTTGATTTTGTTGTTGGAGATTTGAGACATCTCAATCTTTTGGGAGCATCAGAAAAGAAATGCTCGTAGGGTAAGGGGAAAGTCCAACTAGCATTCAATATCATTACAGGTATCAAATGATGTCTTCGGTTCCAACTAGTATAGCACCAGAAGTTCAATGGCTTCCTTCAAAATTGGCTGAATAGTCCATGTAGGAAACAAGGACTTCTGACTTTCGAAAATAAAAGACAAATTTTTAACATGAACATCTTCTACATCAAGCTTCCGTTGGAGAGCATTGAGTTCATAAATCTCTTTATCCTATTTATTTCTTACAGTCCTTTCTAAGTCAAACAAATTTTCTTCTTCATCGTCTTCATCAATTTCTTTTCCCTTATTTTTCCTTGATCTAGAAGCCACATTAACCTTTTGATCAATATCTTCTTTCACATTAACCTCCTATTCTTACCCTTGTTTCGAAGGAGCACTGCTTCCCGAAACACTAAGGATTTGATTCTGTAGAGCAAACACTGGCTTAAGTTTTTCAAACAAAGAAAGGTGTACTATATCATTGAATGGAGGGGATCTGGTCTCAACGATTTTCAATAGTCTTTGATGAATTTAGGAATTGCGTGCCCTGTATTAGATATGTTGATAGGGTTGCCTGGATTTTGTATCACCTCAAAAACATATTTGATTAAAGGGTTTTCCAGTGGATTTGAGATTGATGGTGTACTAGGAGTAGTTGAATCAATAGAGATAGGTGAGGAGAAGGGAATGGAAAACTGAGGAAGAGATTGTCCAATAGAACTAGGTGGTGATTGATGAGCGATGAATGATATTGGAATTGTGGGTGTAGTGGGTGAGGATGGCATTGGTAATGTTGGTGGAATAATAGGTGGTGATGGTGGAGTAGTAGTGAGGTTCTGAAATGGATCTTTTAGAATGTTGCCAAAAATATTAGAAGTTGGAATAGGGGAAGTCGGTGGTGAAGATACCTTTGGAATATTGTCTGTAAGGGCGCGCTCTGAAGTTGTAGCTGTATCTTCCTCCACATTTTGGAGTGTGTCATCCTCTTGAACTTTAGTAACAATTTGTTTTTTTTATTCATGTTCAAATACTAGAGATGGAGATCTCAGTTTCTTTGCCGGCTTCTTTGTTTTCTTTAAAACTCGAACACTTTCAGAAGGAGGAGCCTTTGCCTTCCTTTTACCACCATGCTTTGGTTTGTTGCATTCATCAATCAACTTCCTCAGTTCAGCAGGAATTGCTCAAACACCAGAAGAGGATAACTTCCGATACTCCCTTAGAATGGCATTGTCAAGTGGAACCTTTCCAACATTTCGATCAGAATTGAACCAACAAAATCAATGTTTCTGGGATCTGCTATCACAAATGTAGACGTTTGGAGTGTCGAAATCTCTGCCATTACGGAAGCTTTCATCAGAGGGGCTTTAAAATGACTAAGAGCCCGGTTGACCACTATCGACCATAATCGGGTACACAAGATTTTAGTGTGGTAAGAAGAGGAAATGGTGGTCTAAATCAGTTGAGTCCAAATTACTACCCCATAGTCAAGATTGATACCATGGCATAAGCCATATATTAGAGGGTGGAACATATTTCTTACACTGTCAGAACCGGAAACCTCTATGATAGGCTCTTGAACAGTAGGGTATATAACCCATTCTACATTCGAGTAAGAAAAACTTCTTGTACTTTGAGAGCAAGGAGATGTCACCGGTGTACCCCATCTGGTATAACATCTCTATCATGGAGGTAGCTGGAATTGATCTAGGATGAACACTGACCACTGACGTAGTCAGCCCTAGAAGTTTGCAGACTTGGGGCTTAGAGATCTATGTTTTGTGGTTTGCCACTTTAAAGTTAATAACATCATCTAACTTATTATAAATTGTAGTTGAGAAGGCTTTTGAAAGATGAACAAGGGGAACTGTTTCCGCTATGGTTAACACCTTCATTAGTGGGGAGAACTTGAGACAGTCAATCACAAGCCTAATAAGTTCATCGTAGCATGCGACATCAAGGTCGATGATCATGTTCTAGTTGGGTTTGATAGAGAGCATGTTGACAGAGGCAGACTGGTCGGTGAACAGTAGAGATTGAGAGGGTATTTACTTTGAGACTTTGAGAATGATGTTTGTGGTAAGAGAAAGTGAACCGCTTCAAAACCCATTTTATACGGAATATGATGAGTGGTGAGACAAACTACCGTTTCATATTCATGCACGCTGAGAAACCAGCCAATAAAATCGTGCCAGTTAATCAACGATTGTCAGAAATTGTTACAATAACCACGCGGTGTCAGGGAAATTCAAAAATTGCGCCAAGATTTGAGGTTATGCAAAAGTCATGAAATAGACGTTTCATATTCACCACGTTCTGAACTAGTCTTTTCAAAATTTTCGTTCTACCTTCCAGTTCTCTAAGCATCCATTCGAAATGGAAGCCAGACTTGGTAAAATCACAAGGATTTTAGTGTATGAGTGTGCCAAAGAAAGAGAAATAAATCAAATACTATTTTGGATTTAATGATATCAAGCAATGTTGATATGAAAGGCTGATTGATCTCGAGCAGTAATCTCTTCCTTTTGAGTCAAGAGAGACTCTTAAGTGCTTATGTGGTTTCTCGTTGAACTATGATCCGCAGTTTGTTGAGAAACTGTGAAATGTTTCTTTTATTAAAGCTTAAAGGATGGTTTTAGCTTCATCCAAATTATGAAACTTAACATAAGTCCGAAGATCTGAAGAAGTACTTGTTTGACCAGTGTAGCCATAAAAATAAGTAAGCATGGGATATTATTTTAAAGTTGTTGGATGAAATTGAAATCTCAAAGAAAATAAAAAATGGATCTTGTTAGGAAGACATGTCTTAGGTCGAGAATATTTCATTAAGATCGCTAAAAAAATATGATTTCAAACACTCATAGGTACAAACCAAAAGGTTTTATTCGTTAATTCATTTGGTAAATACCTAGAACAAAAGCGTGTTCACCGCTAATTCAAAAATGGTGTTTGGAGTTTTGGGTTTCACTCAAAATCATGGTGATAACAATTTCAAGATTATAAACACAAATTTTTTGTAACCTAAACCTCAGTGGTTAAACCTAAGCTTCTTAAGGGTTACGTTATAGAATAATAGATTGGTAGTAGAATGGTTGGGAGTTTCATAAAAATCATGTTGATAATGATTTTGCGATAATTAACAAGAGTTTTGTAGCCCTATACTGAAACTGGTTTTGTTCCAATAATCAAGGGACTACATGAAGATTGAGATAAGATATGGTAGAAAGAAGTGATTAAGTCGATCGTCAATTCCTTTTTACAGACTTAAATTCTAAATGGAATTTAGAAACGAATATATTTTTGATGTTTTTGAAAACACTAAAAAAATGAAATTATTTTTGATATTTTTGAATTTTCGAAAAGAAAATACAGAAACAAATGAAATATTATTGGAATTTTGATTTCTGCTAATAACAAAATTAAATAGTAACTTCATAACATAAACAAAGAAGTATACAAAAGTAAACAAAACAATAAAAGACTTACAAAGAAAACAGGTTCTGGAATCCTAATGTACAGTCGCATAAGAACCATTCTGAAGATCGGAGCAAGTCAGAAGTAAACATAAAATTCCAAACCATTCTGAAGATCTAAAAAAGTTGGAATATGAACAGTGGATTCCAAAGCTCGGAACCATTCGGAATGTGAACAGTAACTTCCGAACAATGATCATTACAAAGTGGATTTCAGAGCAAAGTTGGCTTTAATCATCTATAACCCTTGCAAAATTTGATTAAATGATGCTTCATGTAGGGCCTTTGTGAAGATATTAGCTAATTGATCTAAGAATCTAACAAAATGAACTTCTACATTTCCATCCTCGACGTGATCTTTTATGAAGTGGTATCTCAGTGTTATATGATTTGTTTTGGAGTGTTGCATTGGATTGTGGCAAATTTGTATGGCTCTTTTAGAATCACAATACATGGGAATTCACTTTATATTGATTCCATAATCTCTTAGATGGTTCTGAATCCAAACCACATGGGAAGTGCATAAAGCTGCCACAACATATTATGCTTCAATTGTTGATTAATTGACACATGTCTGATTCTTAGATTGCCAACTAACAAGTTTACCATCTAGAAACTGGCAACCTCATCATGTACTTTTCCGATCGAGACCACAGCCCCCTAAGTCATAATCAAAGTAAGCTTGCACAAAGAAACCTAAATTGGATGGATACCATAGACCAAGAGAAGCAGTTTGCTTCAGATACCGGAGTATGCTCTTAACTGCCAACATGTGTGGTTCTCTGGGATTCGCTTGAAACCTGGCACGGTAACAAATAGGAAGCATAATGTCAGGATGACTAGAGGTTAAATATAACATGGATCTAATCATCTAATGATATAAACTGATATTTTCTACTGGTTTATCTAGAGAAGGTGCTAGTTCAATTTCGAACGCTATAGGGACTTTGACTTTTGAATCACCCACCATTCTGAATTTAGCAAGTAATATCTTTTTGAAGGCTTCTTGATTGATGAATATACCTTTTGAACTCTGTCTTATACTTAAGCCAAGGAAAAAGTTAATTTTACCAATAGAACTCATTTCAAATTTAGTTTCCATTAATTTCTTGAATTCAGTAGTTATGCTGGGATTACTTGATCTGAAAATAATTTTGTCAACATAAATTTGAACTATCATTAAATGGTTACCCTCCTTCTTTCAAAAGAAAGTAGAATCACTAGAACCTTGTTTGAATTTTGATTGTTTAAGAAAACAAGTAAGAGTTTCATACCATGCCATCGGAGCTGGTTTAAGACCATACACTTCTTTATCCAGAATGTAATAATGATTCAAAAAAAATTGTTCACAAAACCTAGAGGTTGTTCAACATAGGCCGTTTCTTCAAAATTCTTGTGAGCAGCATAGGCAAGAAATATGCGAATCGATTAATGTCTAGTCACAGGTGCGAACATCTCTTTGTAATCTATTCTTTCTTCTTGAAAATAGCCTTTAACAACCAAGCATGCCATATTTCGAATAGCGTTCCCTTCTTTGTACATCTTATTTTGTAATACCCATTCCATACCAACCACGGCTGCTTCTTCCAAAGTAGGAACCAATCGCCATACTTCGTTATGATCAAACTCATTCAGTTCTTCCTGCATAGCATGAACATAATCTTCATGATCAAGAGAAACGTTATGTAATGCCTTGACTCTTAGGTATTAATTTCTACAACTTAATTTTTTTCATACTAAAAGGTCTACTCGACGAGTTGATGCCCTGACTCGTCGAACAGGAATATTGAGGATACGTGTTTTAAATAACTAACTCAGCGAGTCGGAGACATGACTTGACGAGTTGGAAGTGGAGGATGAAACGCTAATTTTCGGGGTTTTTCACCCTATTTATAGGCTCATTAGCATCCCTTACAGCCCCTTGAGAGTCAAGAAACCCCAAATCATCATTTTCTCTCCATATTTGTGTGTGTTAAGCTTGGAAGGTGGATCTTGGTGAGAGGAGCTTGAAGATAAAGTAATTTGAGGCAAGGAAAGTGTGTGGATATGAAGTCTATCTAGGTTTATCATCATTTGATGGTATCAAGTCATTACATTGATCTTCTTCTAGCCGGATCCTTCTATGTTTGAGTTTTAGGGTAATTTTGGTGTCTTGATACTTCATTTCGAGTGATGAACCAAGATCTGAGGTTGTAACTTCAGATCTAGGCTTATCTTGGTCCTTATAATAAAAAAGTCTCAGACTTTAGCGTGCTAGTGAAATTCCCTTGCCTACAATCTCTTTTTTAGCTTGATTTAATTCATTATCACCTTGCATGTACGTAAAGTTTGTAACTTTACGTAAGAAGTATGCCTTAGGGGTTTAGATCTACGTTATGGAGCTTTAGAATGGCTTAAAAAGAATCTGAATGGACTAAGGAATAAAGGGACTTGAAGAGTTGCATGGTCAACTCGGCGAGTCCAATAAAGATTGACGTGCAAGGACTTCTGCATGGACTCATCGAGCCAGTAGGGTGACTCGGCGAGTCAACTAGGGTTTTCCCAACATTTAGACACGCATGAACTCGGCGAGTTTTAGGGAAAAATCGATGAGTCAACTGGGGATTTCATGATTTCTTGATTTTAGGAAGGACTCGACGAGTCGATGAACTACACTCGACAAGTCAGGTCAACATGGACTGTTGACCTTGACCATTGACTTGGACTTTGACCAAGGGTTGACTAGTTGATTTCTGGGGCATTTTGGGAAATAGGAAATTTATGAATATGGTTCTATGGTGAATATGGGTGGTGGAGTTTGTAGCGGTGATCCAAGAGTTTGAGCTTATCACTTCGAGTCAAAAGTTGATAGGTAAGTTGTCCTCATTATACTAACAAGGTCGAAGGCACCAATGCCAACCCTTTACAGATTTGTATATGGGTTATTGCATGATATGCTTATTTATATACATCCTGGTAGGTAGGATGGTAATATGCTTAGTGACTTGGTTAGGTCGGTATCCTGGTATATAGGATGATGCTATGTTAGTGACCGGTTAGGTCTGTATCCTGGTTATAGGATGTTACTATGATTATTGATATGTTAGAGGAATTTGATTGTTATATATGCTAGCGTATGATATCTAGGTGAGCATGTTTGTTTGATTGTGGGTTGGGTTGAGGCAGTCCTGCTTTGTTCTGAAGGACAACATACCTAGGGCGGTTTGGATAAACTG